AGCCACGAGAGTAACAGGAGCTAAGGCAGGGGCTGCCCCCCTTCCCAGGCCCTTAGCCAGTGGCCTCTCCACCTAACAGCCTGATAGGCCTTTATTTGGGTTGACCAAGACCATAAGTTCATGGCTGTCTATGATTCCTATAAACACAACCCTGGTCCACATCTTTCTAGATGGAGTTTAAAGCCAAACTCCAAAGCTACTACCAAAGTGGATCCCGCAGAAGGATCCCTCACAACCCCAGAAGGAAGCAGGCTGGAATCCACCTATGGAACCTGCAGGAATGAAAAAGTCAGAGAAAGTCAAGGAAAATGGTACCCAAAAGAGTAGGGAATCAAATCCTCATGGCAGGGGGAAGGTAAACATCACTAAATATCTCTTTCAGTTGTAAGTGGTAAAGAGGCCTGCCTGCGTACACACTACCAAGCTGTTGGGCTGTTCTGTTTGGGGCTGGGATTTTTTTTTTAAGGAAGTTGGTCACCTCCTGAGCACCCTACTGGCCTCCTCCCTTTCAGCTGAATGTCCCTTAAGAGCTGCAGACAAGGAGCCACGGTGTGAGGGACTGAAGTGGCAGGGACAAGAAAGGGTGCCTAATGGCGGCGAGTCTCTCCTATGAGCAGCTTTAGAGAATCAAGATGGACCACAAGCATCCCTAATCCTCCTCTTTTATGGCAGAATCCCATAGGCCTCCTTTTGGAAAGTCCGTTTGCAAAACTGAATGGGTTTGTCGAGCAGACTAACAAAAGTCTCAGAGAAAGCCTGATATTGGAGGGAGCTGCTTCTAGACCAGTAGAATGCTTGTTTAAAAGGGGTTGCCTTATAACAACTGAGGTGGGCAGAGAAAGAAAGAGTACCAGCAGGCCTTGAGGAGAAGAAAGAGCAGCTCAAAGAACTCCACCAGCTAAGAGCTTGGCTTTCCAGATATGTTGAAGGGAGCCAATGTTCTGGGTGCAGAGCTAGCACAAGGCACAGGGCACAGGGCAAGATGAAGTTCAAGATAAAATGGCAGTGGCTGGCTCATTGAGTCCTCCGTGCATGGACCAATTATTATCTCCGAGCTGAGATTCTCTGGTTTGTCCTATGGCTCCATTGCTTGCCTCTGTGTAAGCATGAGTAGATGTCGCTGAAGACTCAAACTGCTCAGCTTGAGAGTCTTCACTACCATGTGGCAATCCCAGGGATTTGATGGGAAAGCACTTCACTTAGATGCCATTTTTGAAGATGGGACACAAAGTGGAGTAAGCTCTCAGAGAGCCAAGTTCCAGGAGGACTTTCAGCGTGCTAGGTGTCAAAGTACCTTGTCACCTTTAAGTCCTGCCATTGTTCCAAATTTATATAATTAGGAACACAATACAATGACTCTGCTGCCTCATTTTGTCCAGTTGATAATGGATTTTCAAGGTACAGGTCACCCAATACAATTAACGCAGACTACTTGTGTGTCAAGGATGAATCAAGCCAGAAGTGGAGGCAGCCACCCCTGAACTAAGGATTTGCCATGGCTCTTGATGGTGAAGCTCTGGGTTAAGGTGCCAAGTCCAAGTCTGTATAATTTGCTGTGCAAGTAGCCACCCTAGCTCTGCACAGACAGACAACACCACAGGTGTTCTTCTTGGCCAGGAGAACAATCTTAGGCAATAGATACAACCATAAAAGGAAGCCAGAACTCAAGGTAAAGTCCAGACAGAGCCTGTACTAGTCAGAGCCAATGTCTCTGTAATGTATAAAGTTCCAAGCTGAGAAAGAAAGCCAAATCTCCATTAAACAATGCTCTCAAGCCCATTTGTCACCACAGAGAACTATCTGTAGTTGGAGGCTGACCTTACAATTTCTTTGCAGCCATAGGTTCCCTTCCTTTCTGCTCCCTACGGGTGCAATTTCCAGTCAATTTCTCCAAAAGAAACATTTGGCTTGGGTAAAGAACCTGAGATTGAACCTGTGAAGGGAACGGGGCTCTCAACACATCCATTCCAGCATCCCTTGGTGGTCCTGAGGATGAGCCCCTGAGTCCACTTTAGCTGGTACTTCCTTCTGAAACATTCGTTTCAGAAACCCCCCACCCTCATCCCCTGTTGGCCCATCAGTAGCAGCTTTCATGGTAAGGCTGTGGAGGTCAGCTGGGAGGGATGGGTTAGAAGAAAAGTATCCTCGTGTGCCTAGTAGGGCTTTTCTTTCATTCCTTCTTCATGTGGATGCTCAGCTGGCAGACTGGGCAGAAAGGCCCGAAGACCATGGCTTGGATCCTGGCACCATCCTAAGAATCACACATAGTTCCTCCACAGGACCTTCATCTTTTCTCCCCATCACTGGTCACCACTAAAGCATTGAGTACACTCTTAATTTCTACAACCCAGTGATCCCTCTCTTTGTGTGCCAGCCTGACGGTGGATTTCATTTTTATTCCCACCAGCTCGCTTACGTGGTTAGGGAATGGGCTCCACCTGCCATAGCTCCATCTCTGAAAGCAACCCAAAGGCTTTAACGATATATCTGGATATTGCTATTTGCAGTGAAGCTCCAAGTCCATGGAACAAGGAACAGGATCCCTTTCCTGACTGGTCTATGGATCCTAATGGCTCAAATATGACCAGAAAAGAAATCAATAAAGATTTAAGCAATGAATAAGTAAGCGGATTACTTAAGCAGCTCTCTAATTCTAGACGGGAGTGAAAGACCAGTCCCCATTAATTATATAACACAACATTACAGCAAGAATCACTAGGAAGCTCCCATGTTTTCTGCAAGGCTCTCCTGAACAAATGAAAGAATCTGAGCAGATTTCCCCTGCCCACTACCCAGCGGCTTAGTAGATACTGCTTTCTTCTCAAAAGGCAACTATTATCACAGACAATGCTGTGTGGAGACCGCACGCAGGGCAGGTGAGTTTCTCACCAGCAGCCTTGGACCTTTCCGGCCCATTCAGGTTTCTTGGTACTGAGAACGGGAGGCTGGTGATTTGCATGTGGCCTGGATGTGAGGACTCCGTAGTTGTCACAAGGAACTTGCACCGTAAGTTCACACACTGAAAGCATCTGCCACAGCAGCTGCCATAGAACAAGCACTAAGCAAACTGTCTGGTGTTCTTTGTCTCCTTTCCCCATTCAAACCATTCCATAAACATGCATTAGACTTCTACTGCCTCCTAGGTCTTGTTTGGCCACCTGATATGAAGAGGAATAACAGTAATACCATTTTAAAAATATAGATTCAACTCAATGCTATAAAAAATGTCTGTCTGTCTGTCTGTCTGTCTGTCTGTCTGTCTCCTGCTGGCATTCTGCAATGCCTAAGAACATGTGCTATCTACTATGCTCTCCTATGAAGAACTCTCTCCTCAGACAGGAAACACTCCCAGTGAGGCTTTTAGTGACAGGAGAGCTGGTCACAAAAGGAAATGATGGAGGTGACTTTTGACCTGTGAAGGGTTTAAACAGGTTTGTGTGATTGAATTTCTGGTTCCTGGTTGGTAGCACTGTTTGGGGAGGTGGTGGAACTGTTAGGAGGCAGGATGAAGCTAGAAGTAGTGGGTCTCTTGTGGGTTATTGCCAAGTCCAAGTTCTAACCTGACTTCTCTGTCCCCAGGTCTACAAGCAGCCTCACAGTACCACGGCCACAGCCGTGAGCCTCCCAATCCCCCTGCCACAGCTCGGAGCCACCGTGAACTCTGCCTTGACTTCCCTACCATGATGGACGGTACCCTCACAAACTGTCAGCCTGGACAGGGTTGTCCCACTTCCTTTGAGATATTTTGTTATAGTGATGAGAAAAGAAAAGGATGCAAACTCCTTTTCCCTTTACAGTCTCAGAAATCAGAATGACACCCGAGCTAAAGGAGAAAGCCAGCAGGCTGCTGGACATGAGTATTTGAACATCTGAAGTATCAAAATAGCCTCTTGCATAGTATGGTGGGTTCATATTTTTATCCACTTTCATTGAGGATTTAATAAGGACTAGAGTCTGTACCCTTATCACTATCAGCCCCACCACCCAAAACCAAGATAGATTTGTAGAAATCCACCTATAAAGCTCTCCCAGCCTTAAGGGAAGATGGGTGTTTAAAGTATCTAGTTAGTTAAGAAAAGAATATACAGAAAAAAAAATCCATTTCTGGATCCTAATTCTACAAATAGTACCCAGAGAAAGAATCAATAAGAATTTAAACGACGTAACACTGGATGGATGGATGGATGGATGGATGGATGGATGGATGGATAAATGAATGAATGAGGCAATGGACATTTCGAGGAGAAAGAACGAGCTCCTTGCAGAAGGTGGGGGATGGGTATGAACAAAGGAAGAGCAGAGGATGAGCCATATTGAGAAAGAGGAAACACTAGAAGAAGCAGAAATCCAGCTAGGGATAGCGGCAAGTCAAGGGGGACTAAAAAGAAACAAGGCTGGAGGCAGACAGAGCCAGCACAAGCACACCTGGGCTCTGCCCTGCCCAGGCCATAGGATCTCCTCAGACCAGCCAAAGCATATGGCAGGCCTTAATTAATGCAAAGCCGCAACTCCACGCCAGGAACATGCTCCCCATGTGCACATAGGAAGCTGCTGTCTGTACACACAGGCAATTACAAGCATTCTGAATGCCGGGTCCTGAACCCCACGAGCACATCAAATGCTGGTCCAGAAAGGTCACCCAGCCAACAGCTCTGATCAGTCTTGGCTTAGGCTGAAGCAAATCCCCCAAACAAGGTACCCTGGATGCAGAGACAGGAAGGTCAGGAATGGCCCCGCTTCACATCTTGAAGCATTTTAACCATGTGGAACGTTTTAGAGGAAGAAGAGAAAAAGAAAAGGAAAAGAAAAAGTTCTTCAGAAATAATTCCAAATAATTAAACGTTAAGTCATCACAATGTGAGCCAGGGGTTCATTGCAGCTGCCTCCTCCTCTCCCTGTTGATGTGGACAGAGATTCGTTACAAGGAAGAGCAGGCCGGGCTTATGGGTGAGCTTTATCTTCTCCCTCCTCCTCTGGCCCATGTTTTCCCCTCCATGTACCTTTGTCGACATCACTTGAAATGTTCCAAGATGAGGTAGGCACTAGCTCAGCAGTGACTGACAGCTCTGTTTCTGGAACGAGAAAGAATGGGGGAGGACATTATTCCATAAGGTCACTTCCGAGCTGGTAGAAGTATTATATCCTAAGGGCTTTCCTTCCAAGATAAACTGCCATGGTATTATGTCTTAGTATAGGTGAGGCAGCTCCAGCGGCCAGCTGTGGTCCCCATCACAGAGGCCCTCTGAGCCAGCCAAGCTGCAGGCCAGACCTTGACTTTAAAATTCTACCCTGAGGGTTAAAATGCAAAGAACTATGTTAACAGAAAACCATACCGACAGAGACAACCACATTTTATCAAAAGAGTCTTGCCAGGAGACCAGCCTCGGCCTGATGCATTCAGAAGTCCTATCAGAGGAGAAAAATGGACAGTGGTGCCTTGCCTGCTGCTTTCATGCACTGGGTGTACGACTCTATGGGCAGAGAAATTCAGTTCTTGACACTGCCTCTTTAAGTCAAGGCAAATGAAAGCGGGGCATTTGAACGCGCAGTGTCGTCTGTGGTAACTACACTTAAACAGTAATTTTTAAAGCCACCATAATTTAAAGTAAGTATGCAAATCAACCCTCTAAAGGACACAATGTACTATGAAGATTTAAAAACCTTTCAATAATAGACGCCGCTACACATAGAATGGCTTTGTTGTTTCTGTGAAGTTCAAGGCAAGCATGGCATCATTTTACAAACATATTTTAAGTAGGGTTGTTGTGCCTTCCCCTTGGGCTATGTACAAACGACACCCATAAAGTATTGCAGAACATTAGTGTTGGGTAGGATCTGAGGGGACCAAGGTCATCAGACACCGCAATATGATGTCACCCCACCTTCAGTCCCCTGCAAACATCATGAATCTATTATGATTCCTTTCGCCTATTAAGCCCAGCATCTGTGATACAGTATTTGCAAGATAGAGTATTTTAAGTAGCCACTGAAACCAGGTCTGAATTGGAAAAAAGCTGAACTTCCAAAGTAAGTAGAATCCCTGACATTGGAGCACAGTGCCTGGTTTATCCACAAGCCTCCTGGTGGCCTGGGCTGCCTAGTACTGAGGCTGTGAGATCCACCCCATCTCTAGATCTCACTTGTCCAGAAATAAGCACTTTCCGTATTTCCTTATCAACAGCTGGGCCTCCACCAACTGTCTGGAGATGGCACATGTCCTTGTCCTTTGTGCTGGAGACTAATGTCCATCTACGGAAACCTTGCCAAGATCGCTTCCAACCTGTCTGCAGAAACACATGGGCACTCGGCAGACTTACTTCCCTGTCCTAGACCAGACGGGAAGGAAAGAGACACGTGCCACACGCCCTGCCCATGGTCCTGGTCTGCTCCTTCACCCTGTAGATTTGTCAAGGGCAGCTGAAGGCAGGTGAGCAGTAGTATATCTAACAGCACGTTACACGCTGAACTGTGAATCCCCAAAGTAAGATGACCCAAGTAGGAAACCGCTTATCGTGAACCCACAGAGGGAGGATTCTCCTCCTGACTTCTGCCCAAGGATGGGCGCCTTTGCAGGTGCAAATACTAGGAAGTGTTAATAGACACGGAGTCTCCACTGCATCCTGACCCCCATCCACTGTCACCCACTCTGGCTCCTCCCACCACGGCAGTTCCTTGGGCCCATCTGATGAAAAACAACACCCCAACACCCAGACCAGGGAGCCTGGGAACAGAAGCATGCCAGCCAGCTAGGGTGGCAACAAGGGCAAGGAGCAAAGGTTGGGTGAGGGGTGGGACTAAGACAGACCTTGACAGCATTTACGGGAAGAGTTTCCAAAGCCTCGTCTTACTGCTTCTCACCGTGAAGCTGCCAGGAATCCAGGGTCCTTTTTACGGCATCAGCTCCACAGGAAGTAAAGGCTGTGTCACTCTGTTTCCAGCCTGAGTTGGGATTGCTGATTGTATTTAATTTCGGACAAATGATGAACGTACAGATTGCTGGTACTGTCCACAGGGAAACTGTTTTCCAAGTGTCCCTAGACACTAATTACCAGTCGCTTCTTGGGCAATGGCAAGGATAATTTGGGCTTTCAAGCTCATTACCTAATTAGGCCGATTCTGAGGGATGTTTCTTAGCTCAAAAGCCACTTTTTCACTTCTCACAGAAAGTAATAACTCAAACAGATGAGATATTTTAAATATCAACCATAACTCCATGAGACATGGTGTTTTTAAGATTGGTTTTTATTATTTCTTTGTGTGTGTGTGTGTGTGTGTGTTTGTGCGGGGGTGTGCATGCGTGAGCATGTGTGTATGTGTGCCACTTGTGAGAGGGTATCCACTGAGTTCAAAAGAGGACATTGAATCTCCTGCAGCTCGAGTGACAGGCAATTGTGCACCACCCAGTGAGGGTCCTGGGAACTGAACTCAGGTTTCTTGCAAGAGCTCTTAACCACTAGGTGGTTCTCCCAGTCCTGAAAAGTGAGATTTTTAAAAGGCAGTTTTAGTGTCATTTTAAAAAGAGAGGCTGAATATTTTACTTGAAATCAGCCATTCTTCCTCCTTATAGTAGATATTCAACACACACACACACACACACACACACACACACACACACACACACACATAAAGGAAAGCTGAACTTTAACCTAGAAAAGGTGAGCATCTCTCCAGCTGAGCTCCATCAGTTCCAGGGCTGCCGGCAGAGAGACACAGTCACCAGCCGTCGCTGTGATGTTACAATGAAGGACTCGGTTCTACACCCCTCAGCCCCATCTGCAGAGGGATGAGCTATTTCTGAGCACATTCTCTATCAGACTGGCCATCTCCTCTCGGGTTATAGTCTGACATCACAATGAGTCAAACGTGCTAATTATTAACCTAGAGTAAGAGACCATCCATGAATGCTGTGATCACAACTAACTTATATGACGTCTTTTGATTATTTCCATTTTCTCGTCTGTACAATGAGAACAATAAAAGCTACCTCACTGGACTGTAATAAGTATTTAAGCTAATAGTAGATCACAAAGATTCTGTGGGCTGTGGCTTCAAGCAGGGAGCTGAGATCTCCTGTGCTTTCTTCTGTCTCAGAGGCAGAGTCCCCATCCTCTACATTGCTAACTGCTGTCTCCATGTCTTAAACAATGCATTCCCAAGATTTTAAAAAGACTACATTTCATAAGCTTTGCCTATCAGAGCTGGTCTTTCCAGGTTAGGTTTCCCTGAGTTGGTCACCAGTCTCAAGGAATGTAAGCATTTGTATGTGATTTTATTCCATGTAAGCAAATCAAACGTCTTAGGAGACTTCAGTCCATAGTGTTTTCAACCTCTGTGAGAGAGCAAAGCTGAAAAGCTATTCCTGCTCAGGCCTCATCCTCAGAGCCGTTATCTTTGCGGCTGATGGCTGACTCTTTGGCACTGACTCCACAAAACCTAAGAGTCTGATATTTAAACTGGAATGATGCAAATGTCATTTGGAAGAAAGGAAAACTTAGCCTTGACTCTCCTTCAGTGATGGACGTGTCCACTACAAAAGGTTCATCTCAGCCATGGGCAGGTGCAGACATAACAATTGTGGGATATGGAAGGAGCTCCGAGAAGCACCCAGCCACACTGTATCATACATACCTGAGTTAGTGATCGTAAGGTCCCAGAGACACTCGATGCATGGAAACGGTAGCATCCCAGTGCCACAATGCCAAGAACAGCAGAAATAAGTGCTGTTCTTCATCAGAGCCATTGAGTCCTAGAGTGGTGTACTAAGTGTGTGTGTGTGTGTGTGTGTGTGTGTGTGTGTGTAGGTGTGGGGGGGTTTAGTAAAGCATCTGTATGAGGGCATAAGAGAGGACTGGGAGGTTGTATTGGACAAGAGAACAAAGTCGTACACTCTTCTTTAGTAGAATCAACTCATCTTTTATGTATAAAATTTATGCAAGTGTTGTAAAAGGCAATAATGTTTTAGGTTGTTTTGTTTTTAATGATGTGGCAAGAGGCTGGAAATAATTCCGCAGATGGTCTAAAGAAGGGAGTAAGACCTGGCACTTGAGTGAAGGGTAGAAGTCTACAAGATCTCAAGAGGCTGTGCGAAGAGCAGAGATCTTGTGTGTTCCACATGCACCCTCTCCTAATAGCTACAGGTACATGATACCAAAACCAGCACCCCGACACTATTCCAGGATGTACATACAGTGCTGACATTTCCTCACGTGTGGAGACTCAGGCACCTACCCCATCATCACAATAAAGAACTAGTCAATTCCCTAAGACTCCTCCCTCTACCCTTTTGACAGCCAGTCTCTCCCACCCATGCCTATCCTCTGGCAAGCACTGATCACCTCTATCTCTATAGCTCTGCTGCTTCCAGAGTGCTGTAGAAGGGAATCTGTGCTGCATGAGTGTGGCCTTTTGAGTCCAGCTTTTGTTTCACTTAGCATAAAGCCCTTCAGGCCCATCAGATCTGTGGCCTGAGTCAATGGTCTGTTCTCTTTCACTGATGAGCAATGATCCATGGCATGAAGTTATATACATTGTCTACCTGTTCACTTCTGGCATTCAGGAATTTTCCATTTCTATCTCAAGAAAAAGAAGATGGGTTTAAAACCCACTTACCGGCTCCTATGCTGCATTAACTATTTCAATCAAAGGGAAAAGGGATCGAGAGTGAAAGAGTTGGATGCAGGAAGTGATAACAAGTTGATCAACTGGACATGTTACAGCATTTAAATATAGGATTTGACCCTAAAATTAAAAATGCAATAGATGTACATCAGCTAGAGACAGGGGGCTATAAGACAACACAAAGGACGAATGTATACCACAATGGGGAAAATGGATGCTAAAAATGCAAGGGGAAGAAACAAAGACAATGGCATGTGTGACTAGCACTCAGAAAGCATTCAATGGCTTTACTTATCTACAGCCACAACAAGGCTTTCTAGTTAGAGGCTACTAGGTTTTTCCTTGATATCAGTCTTTTGTGTATGTGTGTGTGTCAATTTTCTTCAAGACAAAAATACAGCATCTAGCCTGTTACTGAGGAAGCAGGATCTCTATGAGGACAGTGCAAAATTCC